ACCATGAATTGTTCAAAAATCAAAAAGTCCAGGTACTTCCAAATATGGCAGGACATCATAACATCAAAGCTTTGACCTTGTAAGACGCTGGCCGTCGTACGTACGGAATCAATCACCTTTGACTCTAGACCAAATTTGGTGACAGTGCCTTTCAAAATATCCAATAATTCGTACACATGTACAACCATCTCTGATGAGGCTACCAAACGCAGGTATCGAAGAAGGGCAAGTTGGGTGGTCAGGGATATCGAAAACAAGATTTTAGCACGAAAGTACCGCATCCGTTCAAATCAATAGATACCTTGAAATCACCCGATTGTTACGATTTGCGTACCTTTCTTTGGAACAATGCAACATAGTTTCTTTGTTGTGCAAGCAAACCTACTGTATTAATGTTTAATTGTTAAGGAGGTGGTGACCCTACAATAATAGTACACAGGATTCCTTCGTACTAATAAATGTTGTTTTTAGTAAGACAACAATAATCTAATATACCTATGTGTACACCTTCTAAATATAGGTGTGAGAAAAATAAATAAGATTACCGTGCGAAAAAATTTTTTACACATTTTGGGGTTTCTTTTTTGATGCAAGTAATTTAAACACTACTGCTTGTTGATGCACTTGTTTGATGCACCTGTTTGATGCACCCAAGCATACCACAAATCAAATTGTCATGTTAATTTAGAACTGTTAGAATGATGGTGCAAGAGATGGTACAGTACCTACATCATACGTAAATAAATTAGGAATATAAATGATTTATATTGTATATAACCACCGACAGACCTATAAAAGGAGGCGAAGAATTTTTTGCTCATAAAATCTCATCATCATCTTAAAAATAACTTCAAGAACACATCTGCAACTTAATCGTGAAGATTTCTTAACCATTTAGCGCTTGATACCAATTACTCTCTCACAAATCTTCAAGTTTTCATCACACACACAAAGATGACACATACCTCGCGAATCACTGACTCAATCCTCTCTCGTAATGCCTACCTGGCCGCCTACAAATCTGACTACGCTACCTTCCAACATTACCGGGAACACTTGCTCGCCGAGATTCTCAATCTCTACCAAAACAGATTATTCCCGATCCAATTAGATGCCCTCCGGGAACGATTCGAAGTATCACTACAAGAGGTTGTGAACGCCACACCCGTTGACGTGGAGGTACTCGAACGAAACTACGAATATAATCCCTTCTTAACATTGGAAGAACAGCGAGATTTGGTCCAACGGGCACATTTCGAACACGCCTTTTCCCGGCTAAGGGAAAACGTTCATAGTGCGGTGAAAAGTACTTTCCGATTTAATAGCGTGGATCCGGTTCCAGCTCACTTATAAATATCATTTTTTTACGCATGAGATACAAAACTGCATTCAAAAATCATTATCATACTAGATCATTAAAAAATTCTTGTCTTTTTTTCTTGTAACTTGACCCCTAACTCATGAGAAAATTCGTTTTATTATTATTATTATTTTCTATATATTTATCAAATTGCAATGTGAAAAGAATATCAAAAGCAAATTAAAAATTAATAAATCTTTGGGTCGAAAATTTTAAAGAGTACATGCATCAGCTGTTTGCCTTGTCAACTGTTAATCATTATTTATTTCATAAATAATGGTAACCATTTCCGATTCAAAGCAACCAGGTAAAATCTCTTGCTCTTATTAGGCGTCACAACCAATTAATTTAATTGATCACCGCGCAAATTATTATGCGTTTCAAAGAAACCAATTTTTTAATGGA